TAATACATTAATTAAAAAAATACAATTGCGAGTATGTGTGTACTTGCAGGTACGATTCCTTTCCCACTCGGAGCCTTTCCAATGAATATAGATAGACAATAAATAAAAGTATTTACATAGGTGTGAATTGTCAATACTATCACTGAAATACATATTAACAGCATTTGGTTTGTTTTCACTAGTAATTAAACAACATGTCATTTGTCACAGCATTTTGTTTTCCTTCAAATGAGTGAATACATAACCCTTCTTAGCAGCAACCGAAAGAATTGAAAAAAGATTGATTAATTTTACAAATATTCTTGATGGTCCATGAAAAGTCAATTGATCAGATAACTACCACACACTATTGGAGGAAGAGATCATATAACATGACAAAAATAAAATAAAATATGACTTACGAGTGAAATTAATGAGACTGTTCATGTCAACAGAAATTTGAAATTATGGCATGATTTACTGACTTTCCAGGGTGTATCTAGCCTCAATGCTAACGGAGAGGATTCAGATCTCATGGGAGTCTTTTCAAAAAAAAACAAACAATGGTTACTGATTGGGAGTTAAATACATTTTTAAGTATGCTCCCGCTTCATGCTGAGTTTACAGGATATAAAACATTTGACCTAAGGTAAACACCATCATGACAGTACAGGCTCACTTTAAATTATATTAACACCAATAACAGTTGAATTAGCACCCCTGTAATCTTATCTTCCATGACTCCTCTTTGCATGATTAATCAACTCCCAAAAGGTTGGATAATGAGGTCAGATACACACTTGCAGCATCAGAGTACGTACCACAAAATTAGATTTTAAAAAATGAAAAAAATCAAAAATGATTGAATGAGGTAGGTGGTGACTGACTTTGAAGTTGCATGCCACACAATCAACAAGAAATGTGGATCAGGTGTGAAATTACAAAAATACTTCACAGACTAATGCACTGAAAAAGTTCTTGAGGAAAACTAAAAGAAGCAAAAAAACAGCTAATTTCTTCAGCAAGATTTAATAATTGGGATATGTCTCAAAATGAAACCAAGTATCACAAAGAAAAACATGTAATGTGAAAATAGACACTAATTTGAGTTTAATATTCAGAACATAAATTTCTGCTGTGACAAATAACATGATATGCAGGTTAACCACATTAATTCAGATAACCTACACAAAATAAGCAGCAATACATTTATGGTTGTTCCAAATCTGTCCAAGGATGAAGTTATGACAAAATTATAAAAATTGTTTCAACAGAAATCACATTTCACATTTGGCAAAAGGTTAAATTTATAAGTAGAAACAATGTATACTATTTTAAGCCAGACAGATCCAAAGAAAAATTTCAATAATAATAAGTACCGGATTTGGAATGGAATGATCATAAAGCCCTAAAAGATACTAAGTATACAACTGGGATCAATCTGAGAGGAGTTGCTTGTGCGTAGAGGGTGGGAGGTCGATACAGGTTCTAGTTATAGACATCACAACTGAGATAGACCCCCAGTCTATTTTAGTATCAATCTAAATTAGGAAGTTTGGTTGACCGGGAAATACTATGCGCGACTAAGTGCGACGTGGATACAAGCGCCATTAGAGCCAGAGGCCGAAAGTCATTCAAGGCTAAGTTCGAGCCCGATGACGACCGCCTCCTCGCGCGCTTGAGCCGGGTATTCAAACATAATCGAATGCGAGTCCACCTCAGTTATTACGTCCATCGTTCTAGAGTGAGAGCAGCATTGGTGATCACGATTGCCGAGCTGCGACAGTAATGGCTTCCTTTCTGCTCATCCGAAACACACACACACACTCACACGAGATTGCATGCCCCTTTTTTTTCCTAAACCTAGCCGAGCACGGGGTCACAGAGGGTCTACATGAAGGGCGGGGGCCAGCCCGTGGAAGAAGAGGGCCCCCAGTTCCCCATCATGGACTTTTGAAGGTACCAATCCATACCAGTCTTATCACAGCCTAAAGGGTCCAGCCACGGCGCGGCGGCGTGCGAGTGTGGGGGGCCGGGCGGGGGCCCGGGCGGAGCGCCCGCGGGAGACGAGGACGACCCCGGCCCGAAGCCCGCGTGCCCGCCGCCGCCGGCGCCGGGGGATGAAGAGGGCATGGCCAGGGGCCAGCCTGCGTACGAGGACGCGGACGTCGAGGACGCGCCGCACGACCCGCCGCATGAGACGCCACGAACCACACAGTCCCAGTGCATGTTGCCCAGGTTGGAGAGGCCGCCATGCATCTGCCCCAAGGGGCTGCCCGCCAGGCTGCCAGCCAGGCTCCCCGCCACGCTGCTGCCGGAGCCGGCTGCGCTGCGATACGACGCCGGCGACGTCGACGGCAGGCTGCCATAAGACGCGGGCGACGCCGACGGCAGACTGCCGTACGGCGCGGGCGAGGCGGAGGCTACCCGGTTGTACGACGACGAGGACGCCGCCACCGGGTAGCTACCGTAGGCGTTGGCTGCAGGCGATGGGCACAGCCCCGCCCCCGCCGTCGTCAGCCCCGAGAGGCCCTGCGCCAGGCCCAGGCCGTACGCGAGCGAGGACGGGGAGGGGGACGGGGGTGTAGGGGTGGTGTTGGTCGCGGCCCCGCACGGGGCGGGGGGCCAGTCCTAGCTGGTGCGCTTCATCTTGGCGGGGGGCTCGCCACCGGGGGCCGCCGCGCGGCGCGGCGTGAACATGTACTTCATTTGCGGCATGTACTGCAGCACGTCCTTGACCTGCACCAACGGCAGGTTGTCACTCGTCGACGAGCACTTTCCCGCCTCCTTCAGCATCTGCATCTGTTGCCTGAACAGAGAACACGGATTAGCAGTCGTCTCTTGGTGAGGGCAGACAAAAGTGCGCCAGATACACTAACACCGATAATGTACTCACCTATTCCCTCTATATAGATCTAATCTCAGAACTTCTTGTAATCCTTCTCTACAGTTATTAACGGGTAAGTTGGGGAAAAAGTGCGCCGTGAAATCATACAGTGTCATAAGTAGCTCAGTATATACATAAGGTTTAGCATTGATGCAGGGAACCATTTTCCCATCCACTAATGCTTTCTGAACCTAAAACAGAGAAATCTCGGTTCAGAATTAAATAGAAAAAGAGGAGAAATAATGTGTTGAGTCTAGAACAATCCTTACCTTGTATGGTATATGTTGGCCCGATGTAGGGAAATCTGCGATCTGTCTTAAGGGTCGGTCCATAGATGACGGGGTCTTGCCATTACTGACGTGGTGTTGCCTTTGGCCGTGGCTCATCTGCGGTGACTGGAGTGGAAATAAAAGATGAGTCACATTTTTTGTCATATAGGGTACTTCTAGGAGGCAGTGCACTGTTAAAAAAAATGTTGCGATTTCCCAAAACTTCCTCTTATACGGAGCAACTCAGAAATCCCAACACTTGTTCGTGATCTAAAATAGAGAATTTTGCTGTCTTCATTTAAAAATAGTCGTAGACCATTCCTCAAAATTTTTTAGATAACGAAGAAGAGTTGTGACCCCCCCCCCCCCAAAAAAAAAAAAAAACAAAAAAAATCACGAGAGTTCTGACAAGTTTTTTCAGAGCAAATTCGTCAGCAAGTTATGACTTTAAAATAAATAACAGTGGGCCCCAATTACCGAGACGAGCGGCGGCGGGTACTTGTTGTTGGCCTGGGCGGTCGGGTAGTGGGCGTGGGGCTGCTGCGGCGGCAGCATCTGCGACGAGTGCTGACCCATGCCCATCATGTGGGGCATAGCGCTGCCGGCCGACGAGTACATGGCGGCGGCCGCGTTCGCTCTCCTGCTGGCGGAGGAACAAAAGTGTAAGACGGATACCGCGAAGGGCGCAGTGAGAAGAAGAGACCCTGCTCGAGCGCACTCACCCCATGGAAGACTGGGAGGCCGTGACTCTGACTAGAGGCGGTGGTGGCTGGACCGCCGATCCAGGAGAAACCATACCCATTGGCATTGATCCCTGGAACAAACATCAGGTCAGTTGAAAACAGGGGAATTCCATGTTTACCATTTACAGAAGTCGAACCGCCCAGATCCAGACCGCCTCCCTTCCTCGCGGCGCAGCGCCCAGCTGGCCCAGCTCTAGCCGGGAAGACGCCTGGGAGGTAGGCAACGGAGGCCCAACGACACGCGGCTGACTGACGGCGATGCCTACCTCCAGGGCGCCCCGTGCAGCGAGCCGACGCAGCGAGCTCGGGAGAATAGAGCCGGAGCCTCGTGAAAAATAAAAGGTATGCGAAAGAGGGGGGGGGGCGGCAAGCCAAGGGAAAAAAGAACAAGTAGAGAAAGAGAGGAGAGTTGGAAAGGAAAGGGGGGCAGAGAAGAGGGTGAGGGGGGTTGGGCATGCCGGTTACGGCATACTCCCCACCCTCTACTCTTTCACTTTACGACACCGTCATAGATTTACCCACCCCGTCTTTGAAAGTTAACTGTCTTAAGCGCAAAGGGTGGAATTAGAACGATGTCAAACAGCTCTCGTAACGGAGTCTTCCGACCAGACATACTTAAAGCTATAGGTCCAAGCTCACAAACCGGCGCGGCGAGCTGGCCTGCTACAGTAACTCTCAGATCAGAGGAGTGCGTGACAACACGGCTGACCGGGCTGCGCACATTTGCCAATACATTCAATGCAGGTAGACAACGACCCGACGAGTTGCATTTCGCCCTACACTGTTCTCGACAGGATCACGAGTACCGACGGCCAGGGTGGAACACACGCGGCGTTGCCGCCTAGATCTGGCAACGTTGGCCGCGCCGAGTCTGAACTGCGGAACTGCGAGCACCCCTCTTCCCTCTCACTGTCTTACTCTCCCGCCCCTTTCCTTCTATTCTCCGGCTCTCTATCTAGCCGTCGCATTAGTTACAAGCGTCGCCTCTTTGCCAGTCAAGAACCGGGGAAACTTCGACAAAACAGAGGGAAATACGAGTAGAAGTACGTATCGATAATGGGGGGAAAGAAGGGGTCGATTGGGGGAGGGAAGGGGCTCCTCTAGCTGATCCTCCCATGTGCAAAGCGGTGGGACATGGATTTTACCACAACCCCCGTCCCTACATACTTTCTTTCACGGAAATGTGACACATTGGTTGCGACGCGATTTCCAACCCCATTGTAAAATCTAGGTCGTAACCACAATGTGGTCATGCCACCGTTACTTTAGAAAAAAAATACTGGTTTTTTTACAAAAATTTCACACTACATGAAAAGTCAACCGCCCATAACAAAGGGACACCAGACACACTAAGCAAAGGATACACTCTAAGGGGTTTTTCCAGACTTTAAAAAATGGGGGGAGGGGGGGGGGGGTTCAGCAATCAGCATCTCCAAAACTTTTGAAGGGTACTATGACTAATGCTTCTTGAAGTAATGAAAATTATCAAAAGGCAAGCTACAAAGTTATCACAAATGACAAACCTGTAATTATTTTTTTCAAATACTAATACATTTTTGTAATTGACAGTCTAGTTGATAAATCTCCACAAAAAAATAAATTACTTGGAACAAAAAATTTTAAAAGTTAATTATGCTAACAAGACAGTTTAAGTACATGTCAAGCCTGATCAATGAACTTTTGACTGTACATAAAACCTTGCAACTGTCATTAACAGGGACAAAGTGGTTCCTTCTTTCCCTGTATACGACAACCAGCCATGAGGTTTCTTTAAATGCCATAGAAGCATGATAGATAATACTACAGTGGTGATATTTAGAATGACAAGAAAAATAGCAATTCCAAATTATACACAAAATGATGTAAACCATTGAAGTTTTCATAAGTCAAAATTATCCCAACATTGTGAATGGATAATAAGCTGTATGATAACAACTATATTTAACACTTGTTGCCTTTATTCAAAACATGTTAGATAGATAGATTGGAAATGTTACCAATAATATATATCCTTCGATTATAGATTGGAAAAAGTTGACTGGAATACTCACATTATGCATCATCCGATTTGAAGCTGAGTGGTATGTTGGTTGCCCTCCAACAAGGCCAGACCAACCATTAGTCATAGGTTGTTGGTTCATGTATGGTGACGAATGTTGAGGTTGTCTTGGCAAAGCACTTGGCACTTTGTTAATTGAAGGTTGTTGAGACGGCACTGCACTTGAACTAACAGTTGGAGATAAGGTCCATGTTGCACTTGAATCACTTTTTGCGGTTGAAACTAAAAGTTGCCTATCCACTACTTTACTAGGCCAATAATCCTCAAAGTTTGTATCGGCTGGGAAGAAGCCATTTATATCTTCTAAGCTAATCACAGAACAATTATCTTTTTCAAAGAGTTCAGCTTTAATTCCTTGCACTTTGCAGCAAAATTTCAAATATGCCAAGTCCCATCCTTCTAATGTTTCAGATTTTTGGATGAGACTACATGTATCACCTTCAAAGTAAAAAACAGGAACATATTTTGTGCCATTCCTTAGAATATAGGGTACCACTGATTCACCATCTATTCTTATGAAACCACACTTATTTGAGTTGGTATTGTTCTGTGGCAACAATTTGTTATAACACACATCAAGAAATGTATAAAACTCATCAGCGTCTTGAAGTCGCACAACTAAATCCTTTGTGGTGAATGGGTCACGGCCAAATTGGTAATCACAATGCCTGACATTAATGTCATTAAGAAGTCTTGCTTCAGCTTCAGTGATGTAGTAGCTACGAATACATGTGCAGCTATAAATATCTGCATGAAGATATGTTAAATATTTGCTAAGTAGTTTCATTTCGACCTGGAATCAAAATGCAATGAAATTAGATTAAATGAAGAATGCAGATATGCATTATTGATGAAAAACAGTATAACCGTACCATTCTAACAGCACAATACTTTTCAGAACCATAACGTAAAATGTACGGTATATGACTCTTTCCTAGTGTAACCCAACCAAAATGCATTTTAACACTATCTGCATCACATGGTGGCTTCTCTGATGAATTTTGAGTAGAACCAGTAGGTGCTGAGGTTTGTTGAGTTTTAGATGGAGGGGCACCTGAGTTAGGTCTGGTTAAAAAATTAAGAATGGCAGGTTGGGTGGAATTGACCATTTGCTGGTTCTGAGCAGGCTGCCCAGGAGTCCCATTGGTTCCTGGAGGACGGGCAGCTCCTCCTGCCATCTTTGCTTTATTAGCCTCCCGCATTTTAGCTGCCAACTCATCAATCTCTTCATCGTCATCTCGCTTCTCTAGCTTCACTTTGGAACCTGCAAAAAGAAATAAAATAATGATAGTGAGTGACAACATTTTAAATATTATCCAGGATTTTTAATAAATAAACCAAGATAATGAATTGAACATGGATACTGTTTCCACAATCAACCCAAAATCAGAAAAGGATCCAGGCACTTAATATTTAAAAAAATTAAAGTCGAGATAAGTTAAGTTAAACGTCTGTCAAATTGTATGAAACATTAAGAAATTTTACACAAGAAAAACTTGCAACTAACAGAACCAACTCCAAGAGTAGACAAACTTGAAAATTTTAGTAATTAACTTAGAGTGAGTGATATTACTATCAGATAATCCTTCCAAATCAGAAAAAGTTCCTTAACCTTGCTTTGTATTGACCAACATAATACTTACAATAATTTAAGTAACAGAAAATGAGGAAAACACGATCAAAAATTAATCCGTTATTTTAATTTGGTTTAATGTTCAATGATTTCGGAAAACTAACACCAAAAACAACACTAAATGATACTATCATTCAGTTTGTCAACAAACAAATTTGACCTTTCATGACAGACAGTGCGAAAATAATTAAGTCAGAACTTGTAGGAAATTCTTCACATATTAAGTGTTTCTGGATTTAAATGGATGTTTTTTTTTTAAGGAAATAATTTTAGGCTGGTGCTCAACATTTTATGTGAGATGGTGTGTTTATTGAGAGGTTAGAGTGTACAGTATGCAGAAGCTTCGTGCCGCACAACATAACCACAAAGCACCAGAATGGCATATCTTAATTTAAAACAGAAAAGGTATGTTGTCCTAGTTATCTGTACCTGGTTGAGATGAAATATTATTGGTAGCCGTCGATGAGGCGGCTACCGTTGGGAGCGCCATTGTGGTTTTCTTCTTTCACGACATATAGCTTTACCGACTTCTGGTATTGATGGTAAATACGATGCGTTCGCAAGACAACATTTTGTTTAACCACTAAACGTAAATATATTCGGCTGAGGCTCATAAACAGTTTTCTATCTAAATTGAAATTTGATTTAACTCTTCGTCCGTTTTGTGTCCGAGGCTGTACGAGTAGTCACATTTCCATTTCAGCTCGTCTCTTCGTCAGCTACTCCACTTGTGATGGAAAATCCCATTCTAGCCTCTTACCCAGGCCTTCCATTTCAGCATGGCTATTTTACCTTCGCCTAAAATTATTTTACCGAGCTAACAACTGTCTGCGCGAGGCTATGCCTTGCCAACCAATGGGAACGCGCCATGTGGATGCAACAAAGGGTATCCGCCATGTTGGATGACGTCAGAGTAAGAGCCATAGAGGCCTTGACAGAGGCTAGGTTAGAAATTCCAAGGTCTTTCGACCAAATGGGACATTCCATTTGTCACCTAACCTCACATCGAAATTAGAGAGTAATGGTATCCCCTAAGCTACATGAGTCGCGTACAGCCCATCCAGACCGATATGCCCAGCTGACACACTCTCGTGTCAAAACCAATAGGACAGTATAAACCCATTTTATTGGGGGCCTGTCCAGACCAGGTTCGCAGGGGTCAAATGGGGTCACTGAACCCATCGTACCATTGTACCCGATTACCCAATATTGTGTAATGCATTGGTCATGCATATTTGTGTGTCATACATCCCCGAGGGTTTCGCTTCAACCCACCTCGAAAAGGACCCATACAACTGTTTCAGTCATTACAGTGCCGAAAACAGTCCCCTCCCGTTATTAGTCACTGAAACTGGAAAACTATCCCCTCCCCTCCCTTCCCCTCGCAGCTTCGCCGCCGCCGCGCGGTTCTCAGCGGAATAGGGTGGGGGGAAAAGCTGAGAAAGCCCGCGGTCAGCAAGA